CTGTTGTTGTTGTTGTTGTTGTTGTTGTTGTTGTTGTTGTTGTTGTTGTTGTAAAGACAGTTGTTGTTGTTTTTATAAAGTCTGTTGTTATTGTTGTTACTGTTGTTGTTGTTCTTCTTCTTCTTCTTCTTCTTCTTATAAAGACTGTTTTTATTTTTTGTGTTCTACACCTCCATGGACACAATTCAGATAATTTGATTGGGTGGTTGGTGGATGCGCTGGTGTGGTTTGCTCCTTTTTACCTATGAAACATCTATCGTCCTTATCTCTCCTCCTTTATTGTGTATGTTACTTTCTTGTAACACATCTAATCTTCGGCACTTATATGACCTTATTGTGTTGCAAGTGCTGTAAAACTCTTACTAAAACTCAGGTAATTTGGAGACGACTCGGAGAATGGGATTGGCTCTGTGAGGTGAATGTAATGAATGTAATGACAATTGGCAGAATGGGATTGATTCCTAAGTAATGATTGCAGTGATAACTTTGTGAATGGGATTTGCACCACAAAATGATTGTAATGATGACTGGGTGAATATGATTGATTCTTAAGTAATGATTGCAATGCCGACTCGATCAATGTAATTTGCGCCACAAAATGATTATAATGGCAACTGGGTGAATTGCCCTTATGAAATGATTGTTATGACAACCGGCAGAATGGAATTGATTCTTATTAAGTAGTGACTGTAATGATAACTGGGTGAATGTGATTGAATATCTAATGATTGTAATGACAACTGACAGAATGCGATTGAATGTTCAGAACAATTGTAATGATTTTAAATGTTTTACATCTCCTATCGACACAATTTTGACTCAATGTTTTCACCTTATTCCTCTTGAATCATCTGAATCCTTTGTTTCTTCACAGGGCTGAAAAACCACTTACATTAATTACAGTATAACATGGATAGGTCAAACGCAGAAGACTCGAAATCACGCATCCGTCGAACTGTGTCTGCAGTCCCGTTTTTTTTTCTTCTTTATTCTATGTAAGATATCCCTTGAAATACGGATCCCTCGAACTACCTAGGCTGGTCCCAGTCTCATGGAATATTAACTATCTGTGTTATCATCATCAACCGCTGTCTTGCCGACTGGCGTGGGCGATCATGGACCTCCACTTCACCTTGTCTTGCGTTGCAGCAGTGGTGTTTGTTGTTCTTGCTGTTCACAGCCATGTTGTCAACTTGTCCGGTATCTTTTCCCTCTGTCTGATTCTTCCTCTCTTTCCATCAAACTTGCCCGTTGTTATAGTATTCTCCAATGCTTCTTTCGGCTTTGTGTGTCCCATGAACTTTTCTTGTCACTATATTCATCATAAGCTGTCGCCTGTAATTCGCTTCAATCAAGACTTCTTCATGTTTTTCTAGCTGTCCATGGGATACGCAGCATGCATCTTATGAACCACAACTCTGTCAAATATTCTTTTCGGCTGTCTATTGATTTTCCATGCTTCACACTCATATAATAGGACTTTTCAGTACTGTATATTTTTAAAAAATCCATTATGTCTTTGCCACAGGTGGATGTGGATGGAGTCCGCGGAACCTTCCGCTGCACAGTGCCTCAAAACCTAGCTTTGACAGCTGCCGTGCAGGATATACTGCACCTCATGCCCCACAGGCAAGGAAGATAGCGGTAGTGTAGTTTTAGTCAGAGTTTTTACTGCACCGGTGGCATATCCACAACTACTTTGGCATCTGTGGCACCATGGTGAAATCAGGCGTTGTTAAATAAATGAAATCGAAGAAACAGATTATATACCGGTATGTAGTTCAACCTGTTGGGCAAGTTTTGTCAATCTATTAAAAAAAAACATTTTGGGGGATGGGGGGTTGGGGGGGGGGGGGGGGGAAGGGGTCAACACTTTTTATGTCCATTTAAAAACACATTTCTGTGTGAATTTGACTTAAAAAATTGATCAAAGGCACAAAAAAATGTAAATTTGCTTTTTCCTATGATACTTGACACTCAATTTTGGGAAGTCTCCAATCATTGGTAGCCATCTTCTCTCTAATTAAACTTCTGACACAGTGTGAACTTTACTTTTCAGTATTGAAAATATCTTGACTTCTATTCCTAGATAGATATTATATTCTTCACCAAATAAGCCTTAAGAGTATGTCAATAACTCTTAATGACCAAAAATTGACCAACGCCTGTTTCCACCTTGTCATGACACATTTTTTTTTACACTTTCAGAAATACATGTAAGTACTTGGGCATGTCCAAAAGTATTTCATTTTCATTTTTATGTTCACCAAAATATTGGAAGGGCCCTCAGAAGATGCAAAAGCTTATCTTGCAGTATCATAAAAAATAGATCAGAACTAAGCTTTGATGGAAATTATAAACCATTTCCCCATCTTCAAACTTATCACATTTTTACAAATCTTTTTGATGACATGTGGTGGAAAATTTGCCAAGTTTATAGATCTAGACTATTTACTCCTGTGAATGGAGCCTTATTTTCAAATGAAAACCCCACTGTAATTGTCACCTACCAAAAAGATTCATCAGAGTGCTTCTCACATAGTCACATTATATCACTGTACACTGGAGTCCGCTTAGACTGAACTCGGTTAATCCGAAAACTGCCGTAAACTGGAGGAAAATAAAATCACCAATTTCTTTTCTTCTATAATAGACTATTGGAACGATCCCTCTAAACGGAAAACAATAACAAAGACAATGACAATCTTTATTCATCTCACAGGGAGAAATTTGTCCTGGTTGTTTACAACCGCACTATACTGAAGAAAATCCGGTGGACCTGCAGGTTTCAGTTTAAGCAGACTCCTCTGTGTTTCTACATAATCCTCTTCATATCTTCATGTTCAAGAGATAAATGCCTAAGTCATTTTCAGCCATTTTAAGAAAATGAGAGAAAACTGTTTCTTTCAAACAAACAAGTGACCATGCGAAATGTTTGAATTTTGGTACACTTAATTGATTTTATATTTGGATTATTCTTTTGTCCAAGTGAACAGTACCTGGCTCTGCTCTTCATTTTCAGAACCAAAAGTTCAAAATCAGCTAAAATGACTAAGGCAATTATCTTATGAGCGTGACGATATAGCCACGTATCACTGTATTTTATTTGATTTTGTTACCAGAGGCTCCAGGGTTGTTCATAACATGGTCAACATCACAAGGATGGAAGATGAGATAGAAGGATTAGATGATAACTTTGTGCATGTTCACGAGGTTTGTTTTCTTGTTTGTTTTGGTTTTTGGTTTTTCGGATTTATATAAAATTAATTTTTTTTGCTTCTCTTTCTTTTTTTTTTATTCACAAGTTTCCTTGTTTGGTGACACTGAATAAGTTACTGGTTTGTGGTGTAATCATTAGGCTCTTCACTGTTGCTTGGAGAAAACAAAAGTTTGATTCTCTGGTAAAGAAATGGTTTTATTGATTATCTTATTGTAATCTGTCTGCTAGGATGCTGTATCCCTTGGTCAGCTAGGGTTCGCCCTGATAAGCAAGGGCAAGTCAGCCGACCTGCTATATGATGTAAGTTAAAGAACATTTGGGAGATGGATGATGCATGTCAGGGTCAACCGAGGCTGATAGGGATGCAACATTCCAGCAGAAAGACCGAGGCAGAGATTCACCTGGGAGCGATATCCGGAGGCAGATCTCAAGAATATATATATGGGACACAGCTGGATGGAAGAAGAGAAGACAGCCCAGAATAAAGTCAAGATGAGAGCTCTTCTTGGCAGCCTGTGCCCGGGACCAGGGGGAAAGAGGCAAATGAACAGAAAGACTGAGACGCTTTATTAAACAGACTTGCCCATATGGGAAAAGAACTCATGTCTTTCACATACACCAATGGCCCAAAGCTAAAGATGCTTTGATGCACCATAAGGGGGCATGTGCTGCTAGGGGTCTTGGTAGCTTAATTACCAACTGAAAAGTGCCAGTGCCAATCCCCCATCATCAATGCCAGAAGAAGATATTATATTTCAATAAAATGTTCCACAAGGCGGTGTACAATCTCCTTTACTATTTTTACCATTTTTATAACTGATGTTATGAAGTTTGCTTTCAGATTGGGGAAGTTTATTTATGGAGTACCGCCTGTCCAGGACAATCACCTGTACAAATGACCAAATAGGTTCATTTGTTTTGATTTAATGACCCATTTAGTGACATTTTTGTCATTTTTAGATTTAGTACCAAAAAAGGGCCCCGGCATAGTGGGTTTACCCCCTTGGAGATAAAGAGTTAACTGGGCATCTTCTTTCATTCTGGTAAAACCCAGGAAAGTGGTTTAGAAAAATTCTCCACTGGGAAGTCAACAATATATCACCAGCAAGCTGTTCAAATTTACTAAGAAGAGAAAGCAAAATTAGTTCAGGAGAGAGAAAAACACTGTTTCATTCTATTAACAATTGCCCTTAAATCATGTATTTTATTCTTGCTTTTGACAACATATAGAATTTGAATTTTGGCAAACTATTATTCAAGAAAGTGCAACAAATATCAATGATTAAGAAACCACAGCTAAAAAAAAGAAATAAAAATGTTTGCCTTAGCACATTTTAACTGATTCAGCCTGCAATTAATTTTCGCTCTGGACGCAAATAATTTGAGCCCGCTTCGTGACCTCATGGGTGGTCTCACAAAAAATGAATAAAGAAATGCATGTATCTAAATTTGATAAAACCCTCTGTGTGGCATACACTCATACAGTAATGTTCAGAATTCAAAATTCTATTCACTGAAACTGAAACCAGAAAAAAAAGGGTTGAAAAATAAGCAGTCGGGGAAAAAAGAGGAGAGAAAAGTGATGCGAAGAAAAGAGAGCAATAGATAAGCGCCGCTCTGTGCGGCTTTGCTTTGTGCGGACGGTCAGCTGATGTGTGCAGCACTGCGGGCTAAATCAATCAGGTGGTCGATAAATACACCCTCTATACTCCCTGTAGGCCTACTTTTTGCATATGTCCTTTGAGTCAGCTGGTATTTAGTTTTAGCTTTAGTAAGTTTTATAGCATTTGCAACGCAATAATCTCATGTAAGGACTTTAGATTAGAGATGGTACAAGAAAGTAACAAACACAAAAAAGTAAGGAGGAGAGATAAGGTTGAAAGATGTTTGATAGCAGGGAAGGGGCAAACCTGATCAGAGCACCCACCAACTACCCACATCAGCAGGTATGTGATCAGATCGTGTTGTCCCACTTCCCTCAGTAGACATCACCAGTGTCTGTGGTGTAGCGGTTGGGAACTTTGTGTTGCCCACTGGAGAGCTGAGTTTGATTCCACAATGGGTAGAATTCTTATTGAGTATATCGGGTCTTTCTGCAAGGATGTTGTATTCTTTCAGTCAGCGTTGGCTCTGACAGGCACAGTTGTAAGCCTGCTACCTAAATGATCTAAATTGAGTAGATGGGGGCATAAAAGCACACAAATTTATTTTCTTAATTTAAAAAATTCAGTAATATATATATATATATATATATATGTATATATATATATATGTCTTGACTCTCATAGTATTTTTCTGGTTAAATTTCCAGCACATCATAACCCTGTCATCGATAAACCATCTGATGGTGAAACCGTCGTACAGCCCTTCCCCAAACATGAGTCGGTCCATGAAACAGGAGAAGAGCCAGCAGCACACATGTGAAGCTGTCGTTCATGTAGAACAAAGGAGAGCCTTCGCCGAACATCCGACGTCTGCCGGGGTCAATAGCAGAATGAGTGAAGGCAGCAGCAAGAACTCTTCGCAGGATGACAACGAGGAAACGGCGCTGTCCCAGAACACGGAAACACTGATCTTGGACTCGGACATGCTCGGCAGCTACGAGAGCTGTGACGACGCGCTGGCCATCCAGCATGACCTCAGTGCCGCTTCGCGTGGGACGGAAACCTACCATGATCAGCTGATTAGGCAAAACTCCTCGTCCAAAATGTGTGTTATTTTCTGAGCATTGTTTTCAGCTGGGTAGAAATTTTGTCCTCTCTTGAAGTGTATGTTATTTCCTGAGCAAAGCTCATGGAAAAGGTTTGATAACTGGCTGAAATTTGCAAGGAAAGCCTTACAGAATTCTATTATTTATACGGTGTGAACAGTAAGGGATAAAGAAAGAACCGTACAACCCGACATGCATCATAAATGCCAAAGAATGAAAGGTCATTCTCAGCAAAGAGGCTTTAAAGAAGTTTTATAAGCTCTGAACTTTTACTTTTTATATTTGCTCAACATTTTATATGGTCATAACGTTACTTTTGTCCTGGAAATTTAGTTATCTTGAGATTGAGAGTTGTCAATCCTCATTTGACTTCGTCAGATTCGCATATATAAAGATGGCTGATGGTCAAAATTTGGGCCAAGTTAGCATCGGCATTTCTGTCGCAGCTCAACGAATTCTGCAAGATGGGGAGAGTGTGGGTAGCAACAATAATAATAGTAATAATATTAATATTGCAGATAGTTTCTACAACACCCACTCTCATACAATACAGCTCTAGATGCTTAACAACAACTTCATCTCAATACAAAATACAAGTACAAGTATATGCTTCTCAGATTAACGATTTGGCAATGCATAAGCACACATTCCTACTATCACAGCCCAATGGATAATGATCTATATATATATATATATATATATATATATATATATGTGCACATCTCATTATGAACATAAGAGAACCGTGGATAAGCAGCTGTACTGAAGTGCAAAATGTGTCTGGTACCACTTCATATAAGTAAAAATAAGATAAGATAACAGTTGATTTTTATTGATCTCCACAAAAGAGAAATTTGCCATGACGTGGTAGACACATGTCAA